CTGCCAGCAAAGTGTTGAAATAATAAACCACTTTCATTGATTGTGCATCTTAATTAGCCTTCTTGCTTCAATATACAAAAAAGTGTTTCAATTTGTCTCTTATGAAAGTGGTCTACTAAAGGCACTGTTCATAATCAGCAATTTGATTTGCTTCGATTAATACATTTTTGTGAGCAAGGCACTAGCCAGCTGGATGTATAAGTGTATAAGTGTTATTTGGAACAAATTACTGCATAGAACATTTTGACCTTGCAAGTAAATTTGTTTTCTCTTATTTATTTTCTTATTTATTATCTTATTTATTTTCAGGTGTATTCAAAATTCCTGTTAACATTCATTCATAGATGGGGTCATTGAGAAATCGCGCATCCGTGGACCCGGTCCATGGAGGGGGTCCATGGACCCGGTCCATAGAGGGGTCCATGGACCCGGTCCATAGAGGGGTCCATGGACTGGGGGTCCATGTTTTGTACTTTCCCCTTCAAATGTCAGTTTTATGTCACGAAAACTTCTAAAAATAGCAAACGTAAACAAACTGTCAAAAGACATTTTAAACCGTATTTAATACCAAAACTGAACAAAAATGAGTTAGATAACTTAGATATACAAACTAAAGCACAATACAAACCATCACAACAGAAATATATATGTCGTGAATAACTTTTAAAGTTTGAAAACTAACAATTTATCCTGGAATTTAGCTGTCAGTTAAAATACGCGCGGTAGACTATAACGGTGATGTTTATATGGTTTTGTTTGTGCTTAAATTTTGCAATAATTCGCACTAAAATATCTTGAAAATCATTGTAAGCCTATTTATATAAAGCATAATAAGCATATACATCGACAAGGAACGGGAAAACTCAAAGTTTAAACTTCGTGACCGAATGACATAAAACTGACATGTCAACTCTAGCATTTTCGACCTTGGTCGCGTAATTTTGAAAACGGGTGTAATACACTCTCTTCGCCACGAACGCAAAATAAACAAATTAACTCTATCAGTTTAAGGCTAATTATGAATAATACTAAATGGTATCTGCTATAAGAGCTATACTGACCCAGGGGCGAAACTAGCTCCTTTTAATTCGGGGGTTGTCTGCCAATTCCTGTTAAAACATGGCTTAAACCCTTATTTTTGGACCCGAATATAAATTCTATAAATTCCCTCTGAAAGCCCTGTAAATTACTTAACTCTACATTCTATCATTTAAAATCTTTGATTGCCCTGCCAATCCACATGATTCGTATTGGGGGGGGGGGGTTATCGCCCCTAGCTATATCTATGCAGTCGGCATACAACTATATTTACATGAAACGGCCACATTTGATATTATACGCACGAGTTTCCTCGACAATAGTGGCACAAAGTCCCACACGATAGAGCGTGCTCCTAAGATTGAACGCTGTTCATCAGTTTATTCAAAACAATAAATAAATAATAGTAATTTCTACCAACCTTAGGTCCAGGATATGATTATTCCTTGACCGACCTATTATCCGCAATTCCCGCCAAAACTCTCACGACTGAGTGCAATTCCCGCCAAAACCTTTACGACTGAGTCACTTCGATGTTTGTCAGGAAATGAGTCCGCCTTTTGCAAATTGCAACCACTTGCAACCCGCGATTTGTAAAACACGGACTCAGTCCGCGTTTTCCCGGTCCAGTCCAGTCCAGTCCGGTCCAGTCCAGTCCAGTCCGTCTTTTACAACATGCCATAAAAAGGTATCAAACTATTTACAAAAGTAACAAACTACACATGCAAAGAAACTAATATAAAAGAAATATTAAGATATTTTAGATTTAAACTCGGCGAGAGATTGAACTCTAGTGAGTTCGACGGGTATGTCATTCCATAGGGTAGCTCCTCTGTAGGAAAAACTTTTCTTCAAGGATTCCGTTAAGGGTCTTGGTACAAAAAGTTTATGATTAGATCCACGCAAACTATGTTCGTGTATCATTGACGTGGAAGTAAATTTTCCAGACAAATAACTAGGAACCATATTATTAACAGTTTTGTACATAAAAGTTTTGAACTGTTGGGTACGTCTGGTTTCAAGGTTGGTCCAATTCAATGATGTTAAAATATCTGATGACCGGATGTTATAATCAGATTCAGTAATAATTCTTGCGGCCCTATTCTGTAATCGATGTAACCTTTGTCCAAGACCCTTACCTAGGCTATCCCAGACAATACTACAATAATCAAAGTAAGGCTGTGCTAAAGAGTTATAGATCATGACAAGAGTTGACTGTGGGAGCAATGGTTTTAGTCTTCGTAGAACTCCAATCACCTTGGAGACTTTGGAGATTATAGTAGAAACATGATGCTCCCATGTCAAACTCTCGTCCAGTTTTAAACCTAAACACTTATAAGATCTAACTCTTTCAATTTTGTTTCCGGCGATAGCAATATTAGGTTCTTCAGGAATAGTACTTAATTTTTGCCTGGATGCCATAAACATACATTTAGTTTTAACCGCATTCAGGCTTAGTTTATTCTGGTTAAGCCAGTTTTGGAGAGTTTTAAGGTCGTCATTTAGAACAGAAATCAACTTGTCAGGGTTGCTGTCCGCAAAAGTCAAGTTGGTATCATCAGCGAATAAACGCCCATCTGATACCAATTCACTATTAGGTAGGTCGTTTATATATATTAAAAACAGTAGTGGACCTAAGATAGACCCCTGAGGAACTCCACATGTTACTTTACGAGTATCAGATCGTATGTTGTTAATAACTGTTATTTGAGTACGATCAGAAAGATAGTTTCTAAAAAGATCAATCGCTTCTTTGTTGAAACCGTAACAAGCTAACTTCTGTAGTAAAATGCTATGATCAATGGTATCAAAAGCCTTTTTTAAATCAATGAATAAGACAGCATTTATTAACCCACTGTCCATGTTAGTGTACCATTTATCAGTGACATCAAGCATAGCTGTTAACGTTGAGTGAAGAGGTCTAAATCTTGACTGTATGTCAGATAAAAGGTTGTTTTTGTTTAAAAAGGTATATGCTTGGTCAAAGACAACTTTTTCAAAAATTTTTGAAACTACTGGAAGGACTGAAATAGGCCTATAATTATTCAAATCTAGTTTTGAATCATGTTTATAAATTGCTGATACCCGCGTCGATAATTCGCGTCGCGTTGCCGAACTTTGATCCTAGTTTAAATTTCCAAATATTTAGAAGCGCTATAACATTTTGAGTTATTTGGTCTACATATCTTTCAAAATTTGCTCTCATTGGCTGTTTTATTAACTTTCAAAAACTAAAAAATCGCGTCGCGTTGTCGAATCGCGTCCGGTGTGTCCGGACCTTTGAGATCCATACAGACAGGACGCGATTTGGCAACGCGACGCGAATTTTCAGTTTTCAATGACATTTAACTTTAATATTTTTCAATGTTTTTCAAATATTCGGAACCACTTAACTGACTTAAGCAATTTTAGCTATTTGGTCTGCATATCTAGTAAAATTTTTATCCGTTGACGGTTTTATTTGCTTTTGAAAACTGAAAATTCGCGTCGCGTTGCCGAATCGCGTCCGGTCTGTGTGGGCCTTAAATGACGAGTAGTTGTGTTCAAGCTAGTCTGCGTCAAGTGAGTAATTTCCACTGCATATTAAACGTTTTTCCGCTAATTAATATTTTTCCCAAAGGAAGCTTCGGTTTTAGGGACCGGTCATAAAGTAACTGCTAGGGTGGGCTGGAGTGATTTGGGATGGGCCATGGAAAATCTTTGGGCAGTTTCGATGGGCCGCCAATTTTTTTATATGTACACGGTTGGGCCACCAAACAAAAATCCATGTTAATTATATATTATATAAAGATAATAATCGAAAAGTAAACAAAATTATCAAATGCAAATGATGCTATTGAAGCCAGTACTTTGTTTTATACAACAACAAGAAGTGGTCGAATCACAGCAAATACAACCAAAATGGAGAACAGCTCTGCAGCTCAGTATCGTAATTGGTGATGAATGTGTTGGTCAAGCTTGGTAGAATTATGTACAGTGTATGTCAATACAGTGCCGGTGTATATTTACAATGTTCATACCTGCAAGGTTTTTTTTTATTATAAAAGTGTATTTTCCCAATTTCGATTGGGTGGGTGGGTCATGAAATAAATTTGGTAAGATTAGATGGGCTTTGAAATTTTTATCTACTTCCTAAGATGGGTCACCAAACTTATTGGCAAAATTTGTGCTCCAGCCCATCCCAATTAGAGTTCACTGGCCCATCCTTTTTCAGTATCGATGGCGGGTTGCGATAACGTCAGTTTTTCTGTTTCAGTAAATTTCCACACATTTAGCTATACAGTAATTCTCGGGGCATAGTTTTAACGATGTCGAACAGCGCAAGTACATTTTATCACAGTGATTTTATTAGTCAAGCCCTGATATACAAGCCCTCCATGGCCTCGTTTCCATGTTTGCCTGTTGTGGTATGGTAGGGCAAATGAAGAACATAGGTGCACAACCCTGTCCTTAACTGTATTTGCACGAAACATGAGGAACAATTAACATATATCGAAACGAGGCCAATAAACGGTAAAGTCTATTTAGCAACCACACCTTGTGTAAATAATTTGAATATAAACGAGGAGTGTATCAAAATTCTCGTACTCCTCGAGAAATCCGTAAAGATCCCTAAACGTTCCTACTAATTCATAGTTTACTATAAATAAACTGAAATCCAGAGCCGACGTTACATCTGCTATTCCTTTACTTGGCCAAATATAAAAGTCCCGAAAAATCCCACGCGGAATTTTCGAATCCCAAACTGATTCGTGTACGCTTTTACTGCGTAGAGACTGTTCCAAGTTCTCAGTTGCTATTCCGCTGCTGAACTGTTCGAAGCTGCTGTACATCTTGGTCACAGACAGTCAATGTAAACAGGGAAAACAACAGGAATTCCCTATTCAATCTTGAAAAAACTTTTTACGCAAAAAGTAGCGGATTCACGAGTCACGTTTATTTCCATCCTTCATGCATCTTCATTCACGGATCACGAAACTAGGGCGTTGTGCCAGGGCGTAGTAAAACACTGTTTCGAAAATTTCTTTTACGTACACGTAAAAAACATACGAAACCTTTGCATGCATCACGCGAAAAATGTAGGGGGCCCTCTCACGAGTTTTGAAACATATTGTTTGCGCACTCCTCTCCCTAACTCTTCCTCCCCCGATTCGTTTGCTTAATATTTGGACCAATGAGAATCCACTACGTCTTGAGCACCAATAAACAAGGACCAGTTTCATCTTGTTGTTTCTCTTGAGGTTCACTGCTTGACTGATTGTGTTCGAAACTTGTGGCAAAACCACGCAACGTTTTGCAAATAATCTAAGCAAGAAAATGCCAGCGAAACAGAGAATACGTGTTGCTAATGAAAAACATAGCCAAAATGTTACACAAAGAGGAAACGTATCGAAATCGCTGGTGAGTTATAAGCCATGATGCCGTGTCTCCTTTGCTTTGAATGCCAGCGAATGGCCATTCGATGATGCTTTTTTTCTTTGTAAATTTTAGCGACCGAAAGATGAGAAATATGCTGTTGGACCTATACTATTAGGATTATTTATATTTGTTGTGTGCGGTTCGGGTAAGTATGTATAAACTTTTTTAGTCGTTGGGAAATTACTAACGTCTCATTCCGAATTTTAATATTGTAGTAGTTCAAATTAGTTCGAAATTACACACTATTGTTTCACTTGTACTGACAAATTATTTTCACATATATCTATTAAACAAAGCCATCTTATTTTCTAGCTCTCTTCCAAATTATTCAAAGTATAAGGATGTCATAAAATTCGATGACGGAATATCAGGACAAATTTTTAAAACACGAACTTGAAACAAGTACACGACATTGGTGAATTCAAATACGACCTTCTTCAAATATTTCTATTCTTCAGACGACAGACAGACGGTGATATATTTATCAAATACATTTTAGTGATGGGTTGAAATGTTAATTTTATATTGTAGAATTAAGTAAGGTAGTGTAGTTGACTTTCAGTGTGAAAGAATTAAATACAGTAAGTTATATTCTTTTAATGATTAACCATGTACAGCATCAGAGAATTTCACATTATATATTATAATCCTGCTCAGTTTTGTCCCTGCACAGTTCTGTCTCAGTCAGTTTGTTGTATTGCTTACTTTGCTTGCTGAAATCTTGAAATGCTTTAAGTGTGGTTTTGAGTTGGATTAAATCTATCGTATTAAACTCAGCAGCACTTCTTTATTGTGGTTAGGGATGTTTGAAGATCAGAATTTTCATATCATGAATGTCCTATGTACAGCAACATGGCAATAGTTCTCGGTATAGACTGTATTTCAACAGAATATTGGCAAATGCTTTGTGAAAGGGGCATGTTCAGTATATTTTAAATATTGGTTCCAAGATGACTTATGTGTAGGTGGCAATTAAAATGGATAGAAAGGAAGATTATTAATTGTGCTTGGCTAATTTATATGCTATAGATTTGCACTTAATTTGAAATCTATGCATACTGTAACAAATCTTTAAGCAGAATTGTCAGTAACAATAGCAATGCAGTTCAAACATTGGAATTGTGTTTAGCTTCTCTCAGCAAATAAATAAAGCTGTGTCCATAAACATTGTCATGCATAATTGCTGAGATTTATTTGTGGTAACCACAATATTCTAACACAAAGGATCAATAATGTCTAATTTTGCTGCCTTGGTCAAAACAATTCACAAAATCTGCCCCCAAGACATTTGCTACAGTTCTATATACAAAGAGTTTTATGGCATTCAGCAGAACATTAACTATATACATTCAAAGTGAAATGCATGTTCTGACAACTGTGCTGCTCTCAGTATCGGTATATATAATATATATCTATAGGATATAATTATATAATATATGTCTAAACAGGGATGTCTATGGTAGGGAGTTGCAGAACCTTCCCCTAGCCTTGGCAATGGGGGGTTGGAGGGGATAAAAATATACTATTCAAATCATTAGCAAGGCAACTGTACCATTCTATACTTTTTGGCAAGTTTAGAATCTAAAACCCCTCACCCTCACCACCTTCTGCCTCCTGGACTTGTCTTGTGCAGTGTTATGCATGCTGCCTCTTCCCATTCCTGCAGCAGCTCTCCCCACTTATTAAAATCAAGCTGGGTCATCCCCAGGTCTTATCAACATATGCAGCATATCCAGCTACTACCACTGGCTAGTATGGGGAAGTTTGTATCTGCACGGCTTCATGCACATGGGTAAAAAGTATATGTGACCATACTTAAGGGTGATTTTTCCTGGAAACCAATGCTAATATTTTTGATATTTTTGAATTTATCAAAGCTGAAGAACTTGCTTTAGATGGTAGCCTGCTCACAGCCTAAAGTTTTGAAAGTATGTAATAATATATACTGTATATTAGGACACATAAAAAATAGTTGGTTAGCGTCCTCACCCATCCACAAAAAAGGTCCCGCTCACGATTTTTTTATTTTTATTTAAAAAAACCCAACTTTTATTGATCAACAGGCTCTAATATAATTTTTTTCTGTGTTGGTGTTATGTACTCAATTTCTGTTGACTGTAGTCGATTATGTAAAAATCAGGTAGATTTTTTGTTGCTCGTAACGTAGCAATAAACAGAAATCGTATACATATACGGTTTACGTTATTTGAGTTGACTAAATAGTAATTCTTTAAAAAAATTATGTATCACTTACTTAATGGTTAATTTGGTAAGCAAACAGCAGACCATCTAAAGTGAACACATGCATTAAATATAAATTGTGTAAAACGCCCCCCCTAAAACTAACAAGCCCTGTATGAAGACTATACAGAGTCGGAGGGTTTCGATGATTATTTTTCAAGTATTAGGCTGTAGTAAAATATATAATAACAGATGAAATTGGTATACAACTGAATGCTAAATCATAAAAACGATATACCTGAATTTACTGTATTCAAACCAGTTATTGTAAACCATATTTGTTTTTTACTTATCTCAGCTGTCTTGATTGCAAAGCTACTTGCTTGGATAAAATTTCCAGTAAAATTACCAAAATTGCAGTATCAATAATTTGTAATTCATTGACTGAGATCTTTAATTTATGTCAACTGAACAAATTGTTAAGGGATCGGTCATAAAGTAACAGCTAGGGTGGGCCGGAGGGAAAAATAGGTTGACCAGAAAAAAAACGGTAGCCCATCCTGAGAACCTAGAAAAAATTTCAAAGCTCATCGTAGGTCATTGAAAAAATTTCACGACCCATCCTGCTATACATGAATATGTACAGTATAGCAGTCACTTTGATCAAATTACTAGTTACAGTATGTATTGAGTGCAAACAGGTTATATATGTGTTTCATGACTCATCCATTTGCGCGAAAAACAAATTGATGACCAACCCAAACTGATGAAAATAATTTCATGGCCCATCCTTATTTCCTCCGGCGCATCTTAGCAGTTACTTTATGAGCTGTTATATCTTCAAAATCGTTATTTATTTCAACGTCTTAAAACATAAAACCTACACACATGTGCTCACTTCTAAAGGCCCATTTACACGGTACGATTAGTTGTACACGATTCTTACTCTGGCGTATGTGATCGAATAAACACGCGTACAAACGTCACATTTCAAATCTCGCCATTAGCGAATGAGCAATAACGTGGCATTAGCACTCGTTTTCATTCGTCAGAATGACGATCGTATGCAACTAATCGTATCGTGTAAATGGGCCTTAAAAATCCCCCGACCCCCTGATGCAACGTTCTATACTTCATGTAACACCAACATAACATGAGCGTTCCCTAAAAAGGTTTCTGATCACCAACCAAGAATTAATATCCTTGACAAACCAATAAAGTGCATGTGTTTCACCAAATACATTCCAAATACATTCCAAATTTCACAACAACTAAAATATATATAGATTATATATAGGGTTGAATTGTACAAACACCAGGATCCCGGTCAATACAACCAACTGTTGAAGTGTCCTGCAGACAGAAACCTCAACTGGAACCCCATACACCATTAAACCAACCAGGAGGAGCTGCGAAAAACGCAAACCATTAGTGGCCCTCCGGCAGGAACCGAACCCCCGGCCCCACGCAACTCCGCGGCGCAGCGCTCCACCCAAACGAGTTACAGAGAGATAGTTGTCGAGCTCTACAAGTTCATATACAAATACTAATTGGTGATGCCAATTGTACGGTGTATGGGCAAACATCACGATCCTGGGCGCCCCACTCGACAACCTCGTTCCCAGGCTCTTTCCTCTTATTACATCACAGTCGTCATGACAGGTCGATCATGTACTATACGTAGTGGTGTATACCGAGACCATTCCGAGCTTAATTCCTCCACTGTCCACATCCTCTTCGCTTTACCGATCAACTCAATTTTGCCGATCAACGTGCAGACCATTTCCAATCAATTTACCGACAAGTCACGGTGTTTCGATCCTCCATTAAATTCTTCACTCCTCGGTTTGTTTTGGCGCGAAACGTGGCCGGGAGGTGGTCCGTGTAATGTGTGATGCGCCAATTCAGAAGGCTCCATTTACGTTACGGACCTGGGATTACGGACCGGGAAAAAATAACAACTTGTATTCAAGGACTATCATTGTATCTTCGTAGACAAATATTGAAGAGAATTCAGGATATTATCAAAATTTTTAATTTCTAACTTGCGAACTTGCAACGTCGCATGTTAGACAAACTCACTTCCTGAAGGACTGGAAAATGTTAACGTTTCTTCATAATTTCTTGAATCAGGGGGGTTATTTATCGATGAATTAACTGTTAACATGGAAAAATCACATTGAAGCACTATCAAAAAATATGTGCTGGAATGCATAGTGACAACTATAGAATAAGACATTACACAAATTTTTAAATACTCTAAAACTAGTCCATATTGAGTCTATCCATACTGGACAAAGAACGAACTATATGTTAAACATCCCCTGACCGAAGGGTTAATAATATATTGGAATGAGCGTGAAACACATTTAAAAACGATCAAGGTGACTGATTTCATTGTCTTCCAAAACAATGTCAAGAAATACTTAATGGCAACTAAGATTGGCCATGGCAACTACACTCTACAGCTACTTCGTTTTTTATAATATTTGACTGTAAATAGTTTTAGCATCATGCACTTGTAGGTTTTCAATCAACCTCTAAAGGCTATTTCCACTACGGAAAATAAGCAAAGGATCGGAACAAAACAAAACTACTGAAAATTTTGGAAAATTTCGGAAAATCTTGGTTCCGATTGATCCGGCGATTGTCCGGACCGGCGGATTAAACCTGGCGACCAATCAAAATGCCGTATCATCTCACATAAATTAAAATAATTAAATAATACTTGTAACATTTACAAAATGGAGGATAATTCTTGGAGAAGAATTGGAGAGTCCAACAGCTCCTTTGGCACAACAATCTTTGATTCCATTGTCTTTTCCGACAAATTTTTCTTATCCAAATGTTCTTTTTGTAACAAAATAAGATAAAGTTCAGAGCTAGCCGCTGCTATTTTTCCAATAAGCGCAAAATAGTAATTTCTGACGCATGCGTCGCGTCATCTGCATATATCATGAAATTAATTAAAAGGTATGGAGCGTTCCAATTAATTACAAAGCGTCATACGCACGATTGTGAGGTCACATAGTTAAATTAGTAAGTAAAAATGCACGCATGATTTATGAATACTGCATTAGGTTTCCAAATTTTCACATGGAAAATCGACATGTTGAATAAAAATTGAATAAATGGAGGGTTGAGATATGCTTTTGGCTCTTGTTTTATATCTGGTTTTGTTCATACAGAATGTATGTGCTGACGAAGGTATGTGGACGAAGTAGTATAGTCGTACTTGTACATTTATTTAACAGTTCACTCATTTTCGGCCCAGTCATAAATTCGTGATTCAGCGATATTTTCGCACATCGCTAACTGAATTTCCAAGCCATCCAAACCCGAGAAAATTGCAAGAAAAATAATTGCTGGACAGTTTCTTTAATATATATAGTTGATTTTATATAACAACGATATTTCTAACTCTGTTTTTTCTAACTCCTTCTTTTTCTAACTTCATAGTTGTTTTCTAACTGAAGATTAGTTGTTTTCTGAGAATTAGTTGGTTATTTAATTTGGCATTTGTTTTTCACAGTTATTATTAATGTCAAATATTTTAATGAATTCATGTTTATAGCTACAATCTCTTGCAAAATAAAACGTGCCATCATGATTTTTAAGGCTTATCCCCCTTTCCCCCATCCAATGTTGCGATTTGAAGTCGATCGAAATTGAAAAGGAAGGCCTGAAACGGTGCAAACAATCACTAACCAACATTCAGAAGGGTGCGGGAGTATGCCAGTGTCTCGCTTATTTTGCATAGGATTGTGCACAAGCAATAATTTGGCATATGTTTTTTCACAGTTATTATTAATGTACATATTTTAGTGAATACATGCATGTTTATAGCTAGTCTGTAACGGAGGAGTGCCTCGCGTTCGCACTCTTACCACTTGGACACAGCGCTAGTCCACTAAATTGATTTAAAAATCCAACAAACAGAACTCTATTATTTTTGAAGCAAACGTTTTCGCCCGGTTTATTTTTCGCTCAACTAATTTCGCACCGGTACGTACGGTCGTACGTATTTCGAGGCGTTTCGTTCAGTTTTGTGGCAGATATTAGGTCTAAAAGTTTGTTAAAATTTTCGTTCGTGAATTCCAAACTAGCCAGGGGCAGCTGCGAGATCAGGCCCGGCAGAAATAGAAACGGCGGTCCTGTGTTTCAGGGGCAGCGCTCTAACCAGTAACCCACATCTTCAGTGCAAAGGCAATAGTTGAGCATTAACCAGGAGCTCCTTATATATTATGTTGTAAGGTGATGCCATATTTTGGGCATCTCGTTCATGCAGATGATTTTTTTCGGAATAAAATTGTATACAAATTTTTGTTCGGGAATCCCATCTACTAAAATCCCACCTACGTGCGGTCATATCGAACGAGATGCCGAGAACCTTGATATAGAGTACATATCCCCAAAAGGGATTAGGGGTAGGTTTAAACCAGTGTAAACTTAACTTGGCGTTCTGTAAAACCAAAACAGCTAAATAATATTTGATTTTGCAAGAACAACACCTCCATGTATAAACTCCGGCTGTGCGTCGACACCAGCCGTTATAATACCAAAATATCAGGTATCAGCACCCTGTGGCGTTTACCCAAATCGCGCGCAATATACCGAAGTACTACAGCATTCATGAACCCGCACCATAACCAATTAAATTTGCTTTTTCAAAACTACGCACAGGTTTATGCACCTCGGATATCGTTTTTTATGCACCTTGGGTATGGCTTGTTTTTTATTCCGCACAATTAATATTTCTTTTCTATTGCACCTTTCACCTTTGCCCATGAAGTTGCGCGACCGACCGTAGTTTCCTATACAGCCGATTAATAATACACGCTGAACCCGTGGTTGAAATATACAGCGGCTGTATTATTTAAACCATGCGTAATATGCAGGAGTACGCACAGTTTCTGAGAGCCTGGAATCCAGTGATCAATTTGATGCCAAAATTTTAAAATTTGGCGCAATTCTTCTTCTTAAGTTAACCTTCGATGATTTGCGTTAGCAATGTTTTGGTCGACTTAATCTCGAGTTGTTTGTGGCAACTTACATTACTTCTGGTCTCTATGCGCTCGCTTGCCGATGTCATGTAGTAAGCGACGATGAATTTGGTTAAGAATACTCGTGGGGAAACAAGTCAAATAAAGATTTCCTAAGACCTAAATTTAACATTAGTATCAATACCAAGTATGTATTATACATTTATACTTTCTATATGTGACATTAATAGCACCATAAATCGCCGGTCGCAACGCAGCCGGCAGCCGTAAGCAAAGTTTGTTGATAGTGATTCATTCATATCTCGCTAGGGCGGCTCATATAACTCGAAGGGCAGAAATCAAGATATTTACTGAGATATTTAACATTTGTGCAGTGTATGTTTGCAGAGCGCCATTTCATCGACATGCGTGCTTGACTGTGACTGATATACTTTATTTTACTTCATGCGTTGACAAATTCCTCAAATCACAAGTTATAAGTATATTGCCAGGGTAGGGATAAAACGCTGAAACTTGGTGATGGGCGATACCGAGTACTCGGTATTCGATACCAGCGATACCACAAACAGCGGTATCGGTATCGATTACTGACGTGGTATCGTTCGATACTTGCACCTTTTTTTAAACTACTTGTTTAATTTCACTTCTTGGTTGAATAAGACTTAATGAACCACCAAAATAACTCTTAATATTTCAAATGTGGTGCGCCAAGTCATGTATAGAAAATATTTATTACGTTTCGGGCTTTTGGTTTACTTATAGCTTTATTTAGGTTACATACAGTAATGTAAAAAATTTTTCCGCTGACCGGCAGGTATCGAAGTAGCCGATACTAGCAATTTAAGTACTCATTTCCGGTATCGAAAATGGAACTTTTGTGTTTATTTTGGTATCGAAATAGGTATCGGTATCGGCCGATACTGATCTTAAAAGTATCGGTATCGGTATCGAATTAAAAATCCTGGTATCGCCCATCACTACAAGTGAAACTGAATCGCGGAAACGGAAACCATAGCGGAAACTGAAAGCGGAAACTGAAATGGGGATAAAACGCTGAAATGGAGATAAAACGCTGAAATGGTAATAAAACGCTGAAATGGGGATAAAACGCTGAAATGGGAATAAAACGCTGAAATGGGGATAAAACGCTGAAATGGGGATAAAACGCTGAAATGGGGAAATTTAATCGAATTCGTTGTTTGCTAGACCATTGCGAACACATGTAATTTGCCTATAAAACTGAATAAATATAAGAAAGAAGTTCCCGGTAAAATGACAACCACAAATTTTCGAAGAACGTCTGCTGCACTATTTTTAAAGTCGTTTGAATTAAATTTGACAACTATACCTCGCGGTAAATATTGACAAATTATAAACCTGCGTTTTTACAGCATGAGCTCCACCTTTGAATTTACTATATGAGTAAATTCTTAAAAACGTCCGAATTTATCATTATGATAAATTCGCGGCACATTTTGAATTTATCATAATAATAAATTCGCGGCACCTAACACTAACCCCAACCCTAACCACTAACCACTAACCACTAACCCATAACCCTAACTTTTTTAACTTTTTAATTTTTTTTAACTTTTTTAACTTAAAAATCTAACTTTTTAAATGTTTTTGCTTTTTGAAACACTTTTAAAACTTTTTTAAAAACTATTTTTTTAAAAAACTAGAAAATCTCAAGTTTCAAGCACGGTCGCGTACAGTGCATGACATACGCTGGCATACGGTGAGTATGTGCGTATTCGGACGTATGGTTTATACGATAAACATACTCTAGGCACACGCTGAATATGCTAGAGGTACGCCAGATGTACGGTACTCATACGCTAGCATTTCAAAGGACGTTTGTGCGTATAAAAATTATTTCATTAATTTTCATACGCTTCGCATACGTTTCTCTCATACGCAATAGTGTGACAGGGCCTTAAGATCGTATATGAGCTGACAGCCGATCGTTACCCATGGAAGGGTGGGGTCTGCCCCACGCACCCTTTCAGTTTCCATGCAGTTTCCTTCCAGTTTCCCCAGTAATCTGTGGTGCATGGTCATGTGGATTTAGATAAGTTCAATGTATCTCGCCGGACAACAAGTGATTTGCCCGCTTTGACTCTGTAAATAAATGCTCAAAATGGAGTCAAAAGTTTAGAAAAGAATTACAGTTATCCAACGCAGATGAAGAATACTGGTAATAGAACGCATGCAAGAAATGCTGCTGAAACACTTTTCAGCTGTTTGTGTTATTGTCATGAGAATAAATATAATTTACATTGAAGAGTTTTATTCATAAAATATAGACAAGTTATTAGTTGTTTTGTGAATCGAATGTTGTTTAGTTTTTCTTCGTCGCTATAAAACAAAACACCGTTTCCTCCGCGGGAAATAGTTTGGTTTAATTTGTTTTTCCTCGAATCTCAATGTTAACTCTCGGGAATCAAAAGTAATTATATATTTCCCTCGGGCCCAACCAATCAGATTGCAGAATAGCTCATACACAGTGCCAATCTCGCTTCCAGGCTCTCCTCTAAACGAGGTTGATGCAGTGGATCACTATATTATATTATGTCTTATGTGACGAAAGGTTTCCCGGCTATTTTTTCACTTTGTTCTATTTAGGTGTAAATTTTGCCTTTGATAAACCAACATGGCAGTCCAGTACGGATAAAGGTGGTGTATCATCTCGTGCTGTTGATGGTTACAAACACCCTGACTATAGGGAAGGCTCATGTATGCAGACAAGGAGACAGCATGAACCTTGGTAAGGTGGTCCTTTAAAACTATAGACCTGTTCATTATTCGTGTCGATCTCGATGAAAAGGTCGACGTTGGTATGCAAGCGATAATTTGTGAAGTCAAGGTTTAGTGTAGCCTTGGAATACATGATCAGCGGTTACTACGTTGTGCGTGTGCTTGTAGGTGAATAATGGCATCGACAAGAATGTAGTGTGAAAGGCTTTAAAGCCAGTAAAAATATTTATCCAACTTTTGGAGTTTGGTAACAACCCCATGTATGATGCAACTGGAAATCAGTTTAATGAGCCCTGGCCCCTGGGTATTTTCAAATAAACAAATGTTAGATTCATTTCCAAATACACAAATGTAGATTTGGGACATGGTTATCATTATAAATATCATTAAAACTAAGGTTGGTGATTGATGATAATTCTTTGCGTTACACAACTAAAAGAGGGCGGCCTAAAAGCGTGCGCGATTTGAATTTAGGATTTAATATTACTCATTATTCTCATTACTCATTAGAACCAATTATCTACACTCGGATGAACGTATATATTTAATGTGTTATCGTATTCCAATATAAAATAGTTGGTCAACTGTTGGTTGATGATTGTACGATAGTTATACAGGGTGAGTAAAAAAAAACTGATACCTTCGCGGCTAATTTGAATAACAAAGGTGTCAGTTTTTTTTACTCACCCTGTATATAGGGAGAATAATTTTCAGTCATCTTAGTTGCGGATGAAATAACTGTTAACAGACTTTAGGCAATATCTTCACTACCATCTCAATGGTACAAATAATGAACGGTCCTCAGTTTAATTTTCCCCTTCCGAATTTCCTTCAAATAGCTATATTCAGTACGAACGTCCGAAGCTTAAACAAAGCGAGAATACATATATTCCCTTGCATTTCAATTTGTTCTGTGCCAGCTTTTATATAGTCCCACGCTATAGTGTCCATATGCTCACAATGTCGAGGCTGCATTATTGCCCCTTTTGCAAATACCATAATGCTTTTTGCCTCGGGGATATATAATTCTACTGAAAAAATGTATTGTCTTAAATAGAAGTTAGTGCTAAGTGGTTGTATATTGCATTGAATTTGACGATATTTTCCCGCTTGAAAGAAACAAAATTGTCTTTTGCTAGTTTACCTTTAGCCAAATTAGCGGAAGTCGATAATTAACAATTATTCGCCGAAGGTGAGGTGATTATCGGGGAATATTCGCCGTGACGAAGTCGAGGTGAATATTCCCCGATAATAACCGAGCCTGCATGAGGCGAATAATTGTTTTAGTATTTTTGCACAAGTTTTTTTGTGTTTTTCTGGTCTGAATTCATTTTAATTTCGCTTATTTCTTTATCACTAACTTCAACAAAACGGCTAGCTGCCATTTTGAAAATTTCGATTTTGTTATATTCACCTGTAGGTGAATATAACAGATTAATACGTCAAATTTGACCTTGTATGATTTGTTATGTTCACTTGTGCAAAAATACTAATATATTTTGTTTTGTTTTTGTTTAATTTTTATTTCCATTTATGAAAGTATATGTCTATATCGCTTTTAAACTGGATTTCTGTTTCCCGTGATTGTCTGCAAGCTGTGTCACGCCAGCCTGCTCGCAGCCCCCACCCGAAAATGTGAAACTGAAAATCAATATTCAATAACCATGATAATGATAACTATATGATGTATTTCTATACCTCAAAGCATATTACCAGGCTTTGTTAGACTCTCGAACGGTCTGTGTCAGCGTAGGTAGTGACAAAAACACCAGAAAACTGCAGATTGATGGGGATTCAACTACCTGACTTGTATTTTTCAGTTGTTAGACTCTACAGGTTCATCAGGACCGGATGAATTGGAAACTGTACTAAAATTTGTGTGATTTCGCTTTTCGAGTTCACACATGCAGGACGTGGTGAAACCGGACGGTTTTGACCACAGCTAGAAGCCCGTGCACTTGCAAATTTTGCTGTGACTTCTAGTGCGACTTTCTTCGCAGTAAAACGAGCGGATGATTTCTGAATATATGCAGTACCCTTATTTGAATATTCATACCTCATCCCCTCGATAACATCCATTAGGAGAAGAAAATCGTATCCAAACTGCAGCAAAAATGCAAGTATAAACGGCGGGGCCTTACTTACGAATTTCCATGGGTCTTGTGAACAAATGGAACAAAACTCGACGAAATTTCGTATGGTTTCGGACTCTGCCGACCGATTTAGGCAGACGGTCACCCAACCGTCCAAGGTATGGTCGGCCACTTGTGAAAAATGAGAATTTTGGACGGACAGTTTTTAATAAACAATCACAGAAGGCTTATGCAAATACACTCTTTAAATTGCAACTTGCAAATGGTGATATATTTCTTGAGTGCCGCAAAGTTGTCGGCTGGTGCTTGCATGATACTGAATCAGGCCGAGTGATGACAATCAGTAATTTCAAGCGCCATATATTTTGAGCACGCCTACGAAATAATTGCCCATGCACACTCTATTTTGGGGACATTTTTTACATATATGGTCTGGTCTGATCTCCAGGGGCGTAGGAAGCATCAAAAGATTGGGCGGGGGGGGGCGGCGGCACCGGCTTCTAGGGGCACTTTAGGGGATTGAAAAGGGCACCTAAAAAATTTTTCCCGGAAATGTTGGCGACGGGGAGAAAAATTTTCCCGTCGTACCATACCGAAATTGCACGTTTTTGACCAACTTTGTTTTTAAAAAACTTGGAAATTTCCAAACAAAAAGGGCACCTTTGATGTTAATTTAGTACTAGTACTTACTACGACATTAGCTTGTAGAAAAAGGGCACTTTTCATCACAAAAAAGGGCACTTTTAGTCCTTTGAAAAAGGATTTGGGGGGGGAGGGCACGTGCCTCCCGTGGCCCCCGGTTCCTACGCCCCTGCTGATCTAGTAATGTATAAGTATTCCTTCTAGCTGCTTTGGGCTGTTTAAACCTTTTGTTACTGTTTGAAACGCAATTTAGGTGGGCCGTTGATCTTGAGCAAGAACTTTTTGTGACAACTGTACGGATAACAAACCGCGCTGACTGTTGTTGGGACAATCTCGTTAACTTTAACATTCGAGTTGGAACAAATTTAGCAGACGGTGGAAAATTCAATTCTCAGTGTGGACCAACATACATTTATAATGTCGGTGCTGGTCAAACACTTTCAGTAAGATGCGTGCCGCCTTTGTTGGGACAGTATGTGTCTGTTTCTATCGCTGACACTGATGGAACTCTAAACTTTTGTGAAGTGGAAGTTTATGGATATCAACGTAAGTAAAACTGTGAACACGAGAAAGAGGAATTTGTCAACTATGATTTGTTATGGAAACTCTTTTTAGGAAAACTTTCTCCATCAATCACATGGTATAGCCTACACCTATATCAATAATTCAAACCTACTTTTTTAGGCCACAATGTATTCAATGTGAAGGCAATATCGCACGGTGCAAAGGACGCGCAGGTTGGGAAAACAAGTCAGTTAATTGTCGATGACAGCTATAATGAAAAGTTATCCCCTCAAGGACATCATGTTATCTCGTTTGACATGACAACAGGTATATAATTAATACTCGCTTTCGGAAATTATTGACAAATGACCTCATTTTCATTCAGTTTCAATTGCCGCCGCTATAATTTTGTTCACGGTGGCTAATTTTGATTCCACAATGGCAAAATTGTTAGCGTGATCAAACCTGCATGTAGCTACAAAATAATTCTATTTGTTTTGTATTTCGCCTTTTTCCGAGAAAAAGCGATGGTGGCATCAGGTCTGAATAGGAATTGGGGGTAAAATTGGTGGCACAAAACTAATCGACCTACTACCAAACAGTCTAACGGGAAATGACGTCCATTTAGCTACCTATGTATATAATATAGAGCTATGCTATGGGGTCGAAATCGTTTGGATGTCGTTCCCTATAACTTATGGAATTCCGTCCATCTTTTTGTTAAACAATTTTAATTGTTTAAAAAATTTTAAATAGCCAAAAGAACTTGTTGACTTACCCTGGGTGCCAGAGGGCAGAGGTTCTTCCATGTTCGCAGATGCAGCGCTCATATAGGGGGATAATGAGGGATACATTCTCATGTAATTCGTCGGGCGAAAAACAAACAGGTGTTTTGAAGAGAATTTATAATTTTTGAAGAGAATTTAGAATTTAAAACCTAAAAAATACGACATTACGATGCTGGTAGCAATATAAAAGTTAACAAAAATGAAGTACTGCCAATTGCAGTAGTCGAATGTGAATTACACTTTGTCACTCTACTGTATATTTTACTGTTTCTGATTAATTTCCATTATTAAGTAGTATGACGATGAACGCTTTCAAATATTATGATCTATTGATCTTGAACTTGTAGGAATAAAACGCAGGTTGCAGGTTGGAATTTCGCAGGTTGGTAATTTTGCAGGCTGCCAGGAATTTTGCAGGTTGATCATGCAAATTTAAAATTACATTACTTTAAACTATTCTAGTAATTTAATTGTGTACTTAATGCAGTCTGACCCCTTGTCAACGCTTTTGATATCAGCCTATCCTGCTGCCATGTTCCTAGCCTCTGCTCCAAGGAGTGGCCATCACCCCCGTGAAACATTCAAAATGACCAGATTGGCGTGGACCTACAGGGGTCGAGTGTCTCGTTGCGAGGCGCCCACATGACGTTGCGGCATTTAATGCCGGAATGAGGGTGTCTCTCCTATGCACCGACTTACTAGAAGTCCACTCAAGCCCCCAATTACCGTATGATTAGTCGAGAATGTTAGTTAACTTTTAACAACATTCTAGTATAAATTTACGTACATTAACCTGGTCCCTAGGCCGGCCTGGACATGCTATGTGGTGCCTAGCACTTCTCGTGGTCTTGGAACACACTCTAAGCCACTTCGTACCCACAGCTTCTGAAGTTTCTGTACTTGTGGCTCCAAGTAGAATTGAACCTGCAAAATACACTTCTATTTCCTATAAATTAATATAATGTTTTCACTGGGGTCACTGTGGGGTGACGGCCACTCCTCAGAGGCCTTAGAGCAGAGGCTAGGAACATGGCAGCAGGATAGGCTGATATTAAAAGCGCTGACAAGGATTCAGACTGCAATAAGTACACAATTAAATTACTAGAATACTATGTAGTGGTGTAATTTTAAATTTACAGGATCAACCTGCAAAGTTCCTGGCAACCTGCAAAATTCCCAACCTGGAAATTTCCAACCTGCAACCTGCGTTTTGTACCTGCCGCACACAGGCACGACTCCACTTTAGTCGGTTCTTTCTTGACGTGCGAGGAACCGAAATAGGTAAACCTGTAAATAGCCATATAGCATAAATCTTATCATTCAGCATTTTAGGGTTTTATATGAACTATCATGAACCAATTATCATATGTTTGAATTATTGTAAATTTGTAATGTGTATATAATATTGTTTATCTGGACAAAATTTCTGTTTTATCTCATTGCAAATAGTACTTTTAATTATGAGTAATATGTAAAATCTATACTTAATGTGGGCGTGGCATTTTTTGACCACGTCCTTTTGTCGGGCAAAATAAGTCCACATCCCCTATTTCTTGAGACTCGAGTTACGTCCCTGTTTATCATGTGAAAAGTTCCTTGAGAGGCGAACTGTAACTATATATGCATGTATGGGTATGTATAGCGACAAGTTTCGCCATTGCTGCAATATGCATGCATGCAGTTGGGTGATTATATAATAGACCTTCCAAAGTCGCTGCATGTAGATCCGTCGTTCGTCCTTAGCCTTGACGCTAATCTATAGCGGGCGAATGGACCATTTGCACTATAGACTAAATTTTGAGCTAGACAAAAATTTCATCACACCTTAAAAGAGCATCACAAAATTTGTAATATTTCAAAGTTTCGTTGCGAAATGTTGTAAAATGCGGATAATATAGCCATGCGAAGTTTGCCGTTTTTCAGTCATTTTGTATTACGCACGGGAAATTGACAGCCCAATCAGGTGTTGGGCATCAATTTCCCGTGCGTAATACAAAATGACTGAAAATTGCAAATTTCGCAAGGCTATATTATCCGCATTTTACAACATTTCGCAACGAAACTTTGGAATATTACTAATTTTGTGATGCTCTTTCAAGCTGTGATGAAATTTTTGTCTAGATCAAAATTTAGTCTATAATGCAAATGGTCCATTGTGGCAAGTCCACGCAAACAATGCATGATTAATGCGGGAACTATCATTTCCCTCCAAGTGATTGGGATTCAATCATTTTACTTTAATTAATGAATTAATAATCCTGACCATAATTTATGCCAGCCAATTATCAATCAATAAATAAATTTTATTTAATAAAAACACTATATCACAAAAATTGCTATAGTCCCCCTGATTGCCTTCAAGTAAAGACAACTAAATATGAAAAAGCTATAGTCAATAGAGATAACTCACAAACTGCAATCACGCAGTGTGTATATACTTTCGAAAGCGAAAACCTGTAAGTATCCATGATAAACTATACATGCATGATTACGCATTCAGTTCTTCTCATCCTGGAAAAGCAAAGGCAAACATAAATTATGTAAATGTTTTATCCTATTTTCAACCAAATTAAACGAAAATTGATTAATCAGTTGTCCTTGCCCTCCGCAATTTTTTCAAATAAAACTGGGCAATTAGCTTGAACTGACTAATGCCCCCGTACGCCTATGGCAATTAGCTACTCTACTCGCAATCTATTCCTCGATAGATAGCAAAACAATATTTTTTCCTGGCGCATTTAATTTAAAAAAAATGGCTTCAGCTCGCGTTATTTTGCCGTGGAATATTTTATGTTTCATTTCTGATTCTACTAAAACAATTAAATTACTCGCTCTCGATTTCTATTTAGGTGATAGTTGAGGCTTCACCCTCATCAACTATCACCTCATAGAAATCTCGAGCTCGTAATCTAATTGTAAATATTAAACTGTGAAGCATAATGCATTTTACATTAAATATTTTTTCCTAGGAAAGAATATTACCCATGCACGTTTCGACACACAAAGCGACTCTTCTGTGCTAGCTGGAATGCCGTTGTATTTGCAAAATTTGCCTTCCGAAATTTTTGTGTTCGTCATTCTGAATAATGTTGGGTGGAAATACTATCACACATCAATACCAATGCTTCAAAGCTTGAGTGGTTATCCACAAATATCCAATCAATTGGCATGGGGTGATGCGTGGTCGTTGCTGGGATACAAAGGAAAATTGCCTAGTCCTTCTTGGAGGACCTCGGTAATGAAGAATCTTGGATATACGCCCGCGGTTATTGAGGATGTTATACCAAAACTATTAGGTGAGTCGTACGTAGCCTGAGAGAATACAGATTAAATAGAGTTGACAAAACTTTCCAGTATAAAGCAAATAAAGATTAGTTTATTTTAGACTTCTCCACTTAACAATTAGTCGCCCAAAGATACCTGCTTCGCGTGCATGCAATGTGAAAAGAATATAATTACCGTACCTGGGAAAAATATACTTACCTGTTGGTTTTTATATTGAAATTCAATATCAAATCTTGAATTTCAATAAAAGATCGACCATGAGGTTTTCATGTTGTTTCCAAGAGGTTTTGGAACAGACTGATCCGATATCGATTGGTGGAAAAAATGTAATCTAAAATCAACTAATCACCTTAAGCAGTCGTCAAATAAGGTCACAGATTTCTTCAAAACAAAACAAACATGGCGGTCCGCGTTACATAAGTTAAAGTTGAAACTGTGGCATTTATCTTTTTTTAACATGGAAGACTTTACCTCAAACAAGACTAACAAAACTCACATATTTATTCTGAGTGAAATTTTCAAGCCGTTAGCATTATATAATGTCCTATAATCGCTATAAAAAAAGTAAGTTAAAATATAATAATAGTTTACAAATTTAGATTAGTTTTCCTAACATTTTTTTTTGGTTTCGCATAGTTCCGCCTCGTTCACCATCCTCAGTCGTCATCGTAGACCTGACGTCATCTTCATTCACGCTGAGATGGTCACGCCCCCCTGGACTTGTCAATGAGAAGAAACTCCCTCTGAACTACACTGTATGCATGAGAGAGTCTGGTACTGTGGTTAATACTTGCACAAATAATGGTGATATTAATTTGTTTACCAGCACCGGCTTGAATCCTCAGACTGAGTATAGCGTGAGTGTGAAGGCAGAGTCCTATGCCGGGTTTGGTCCTGAAGCTGTAGTTTGTGTTGCCACCATGGAGCAAGGTTAGTGACAAGAAGTTGAGCCGTCGCTGCGAAAATTAGGAAACATTGTTGTAGACGTATTTGAAAGTTCCCATGTTTCCTCAAGTGTTCCTCTGTTTTCTCAACCGCGGCCTCGGAACATCATTTCAATAGATTCCGAAACACAATAATTATGTTTGATTCCTGAATGTGATGTTTGTTGCGGAAATAATGTGTCCTCGTTTACGCACCTTTGGAAAACATGGCTTGGAGACAATAGCTAACAATTTACATTTTATACAACAACGTTTCCTAGTTTTCCCAGAACTTAACATCCATATTCGAACCCTAAAAAGACAAAGGATATCGTGTTCAATTTAATAAATTTCAATACCTTACCAAATACCGCGGGCTTGTCGACATCGTGGCAGGGGCGGCGGAACAGGGGGGGCTAGGGGGGCTAAAGCCCCCCCAGAAGTAAAAGTGGGGGGGCTTAGCCCCCCCAGAAAATTCGAATTTTTGGAAAACATTTTGATAATTAGGGAAAAATTTAGGTTATTTTTTGAAAATTTAGGTATAAGGGGACAAATTTGCAATATTTTGTTTAAAAAAGTGTATTTCCGAAAAAATGTTTTGATATAAGTCCGAAAAAATTTTTTTCGTCCCTTTTTTTGTATATTGTACCCCTAAAGTGGTACACTGACCGAAATTTTTTTGGCGATGGGGGGCGGGGGGGAGAGGGGGAGGTCGCCGAAAAAATTTAGCCCCCCCAGAACGAAATCTGTTCCGCCGCCGCTGCATCGTGGGGAAGACATTCTTCACTGATTTCATTCTTTTGTAGGCAAATACACGATTTACGTTGAACTTATGTCTCGTGTCAAGCCAGATACCTTGTACAGACTCAACGCTCAATCTTATTCCAGTATCGCAATCAGAGGACAACAGCATAACTTTGGCCACGCTGGACATCATTTTATTGTTCTTAACCCGAAAACAGGCAAGTATTCTATAAATTCAGCCATGTATATATTGAGATAGGGTGGGGAGGGGCGCAGGCATAAGGGTGATAAATTGTTGGATGGAATACTCTACTTCGGTTGTTTTCCATGCAGTCTGCACGCATTTAGTGCTGTGATATAATTTTATAAGCATATCACGTACTGTATTATATATGTATACGCATAAAATCGCCTAACCAGAATGAACCTTTTGGCTACGTATATGGGAGCGCTTTCAGCCCACTTAACATAAATGAGCCGTTCATGTATGACTTTTGTCAGCAGCCACACAATAAAATCATGCTCATGAGAATACTCTTATAAGTATTCCTTTTAAAGCAGCTCTTCTTTAGTATATTGCTGGAGACGACCATTTCGGGAAAAGTTAGTCATTTTTTATCATTTTCTTCCCTGTGAGCCTCTATACTGCGTATAATACCAGAGTAACGTATTCTAAGTTTCAGAAAGTCCATAGTTTATGCCGTCGTCACTTGCGTGTTGTATTTTCGCCCGATCATTCATTAGAAATATGCACAATGAAATATGTAAATCAACCATTCTTCAATTGACCCGGGCTGTTGTAGCGCTGGGGGTAGAATATTCACCAACCAAATGTGAAGGAAAGGTTAAACTAAATTGTTGGAAGGTTTTCTGAATCTTTAAATTGGGAAAATTAACATTAAATTTGAGCTAAGTGAATGTCGAGGACGTAATTTGCATTTAGGAATTGCAATAACAAAACGTTGAAGGAATTTGTAGTGGAATTTTTATACATTCATTAGACCTGACCAGGAGCAGTTGCGAAAAATGCAACTATCGACTCTCTCATGCATGGCAGGGTCTAACCTGCGGCCCTGTAATTATCCCAATAACAAAACGGTGGAATGTGTTGGCAAGTTCTGGCAGCCTAAATCCCCACTCCCAATGTTTCGTGAAGTGACACTCCGCTTATACCTAATTTTTGTGTTAAAATAGGTTTCGAAATAATGCGAGGGTCATTCAACACCTATCAAGATTCTAGTTCAAGCACGAAAATGGCGGAATTTTTATCAACTATTTCTAAACCTTCGATCATTTTGATGGTCGTATATTTCCAAGCACACGATTACTATCCAGGAAACTCTCTTCGATCTATCTGCCCGAATGCTCTTTTGCATTACACCAGCATGGAATCATGGAGTATGATATGTTTGTATGGCTTTGGCGGAACCATGCCTTGGGTAACATCACGTACGTCCAATGGCAAAATGGGACCAGCGGAAATAGGAGCTCACATTTTACTGCCTAAAGGTGAGTTTTGTATATGCATGGATAATGTATTATTAAATAATTTCCAAATAACGATTGATAATTACCCATACACTATTAATAGTCTGAGAACAAGGCTTCGTGCAAAGTTGTAATGCCTCAATAGCAAAATCTGCACAAAGTCCTTGGACTAGATTTTTGTAGTGTAAACGCACTTCGGCCTGGCCTAGGCCAGGAAATTTGGGCCCATCAAAACAGGTGGCCCAGATTTCCTGGCCTAGGCCAGGCCGAAGTGCATTTCAGCATTTACATTACAAAAATCTAGTCCAAAGCTAGGCCTAGGTCAAGGCCTGGCTTAGGCTCGTAGTGTAAACACGGCTCATGTGAGTGCTTAGTAATTTATTCACATTTCTGGACGGGGGAGGGGTATACGCGAGTGATCACATCTGTTCTCTTTTACTGTGTTTATGCCAATGTGTTTAATAAAGCTGTGGCATGAACAGATGAGTTGACAAATGTAGTGAAATTGAACAAAAATTGATGATATAAAATGGTTCGGATGGATCCCATAGTTTTTGTACGGTTAAGATTGCCCGGTTTATTATTTACGCAAGCACGAGCTTATCGCAAATACTGGAAAGGAAATAAATTGGGGTGGACAAGTCAGAAATGGCTTTGGGCAACCAAAGTTTTGGTGTTGTCTGTCTCTTGGGCAACCTCATTTTTCAAAATTTTGCGAGCCCTGTAAAACACACTGGTCTGAAAAACGGGGTGCATATAAACGCAATCATTCACTGGTGCGGGAAATGAAGCCATACAGTTTAACCGAAATCCGCCATTACTATTAAGGAATCAAAAGTACGGGCAAAATATCGCTCGCTATTTCTTTTCCAAAAACCGTCAAACGTTTACAAATTAGAAGATAACCACTTCAAAAAAATTTCATGCAGCTACATAATTTTGATAACTCATGATCAAGCAAGGTTGCAGAGATGAATTGAAATTGAAGAAGGCATGTGCACCTGACGTGCCAACAAGATAATATTTTACTTTATATAATACCTTATTAAATTCTAATCATTTAATTGGCTGTTTATGGTCACGTGATATTGAATAGAAAATTCCATTTCCCAAGAGTGCAATGGAACACGTTCCATTGCACTCTCCGCGAGTGCAATGGAATAAAACGTATAATACAATTGCACTCTTTGTGTTTTCGATAAATCGCATCCCTCAAAATGCTTCTCATACGAATCTATTAGTCTATTTTGGTATTATATAAAACAAATAATGAATGTTTCTTCGTGCAATGGTAAGAATATTTTCATTCGGTGAAAGATGGAATGTTCCATTCAACTCGGCTGTCGCCTCGTTGAATGGAACATTCCATCTTTCACCTCATGAAAATATTCCTACCATTGCACTCATAAACATTCATTATTTGTATATTGTATCATATTGATCGACGATTGCATGATCTGTCAAGACTGTCATTTCTATTCAAATTAACCTTTCAATTCCTTTCAATTATTCTATTTGTATGGTCCACTCCAAAAGCCTGTCTATTCGGTTAATCTTCTTTTTCTGTTTTAAGAACTCGAAAATGCACCCGTTTTGCATACCGTTGTTCCTACCAGCGCTCTATCATTAGAACTTGAGTGGACAGCCCCTGACACAGATAATTACACAGGAGAGATCTTATATTATCAAGTGTGCTACCAAAAATCAAGCATTTCCAATGATATAAACTGTACCTTGGAATCTGTGGATGGTAATCTCATACAAGCCGTGATGAGCGGAATGCATCCATTTCAGGAATATAGAGTAAAGATACGAGGAGTTGTGGCACTAGGATATGGACCTTTCTCAAATGTGCTCTTGTCTACCACGCCTGAAACAGGTAGGTGAGCGAGTGGGATTGACACATGATTTGATGATTTAATTTAAATCACAAATTAGTAAAATTATTCACAAATTAATACAAATTAAGGAAGGAAGCGCTAGGAAATTCACCACACACCACACCATTTTACTAATGCAATTGTTTTTAGTTCCAATCCTTGCGAGGGCAAGACGTTATGGCCCTCGTGTCAGCCTCTTCCAAGAAACGAGTAGTGACTTTTACTTTGTCTTCAGGGATAACTGGAAGTAGGCCCTATTATTTAGATTAAAATCACTCTAACTATACCATAATTATAATTCGAGTTACCAACTTACAAAGTACGCAAAACGAAACCCGGCCACCAAACCAATATATCTATTACGGATGTCGCCGTTGCTTACACGGCTTTTGCATACTCGAAATAGTATCTATAGTACCATAAGTAAGACAATCACGAAGTGAAGAGACTGGTACGATTGCATTACAGCAGTCATACATGATAAAACTTAGGGCTTGTACTGCAGTTTTAAGATTGGATTAGTAGACATACATTGGTTTGTTTTGAAAATCATTTTTGCACTGTAATTACATATTTTTGCACTGGTATTTTATTAACAGAACCGTCCAGTGGTCCTTCAAGCATACATTTTCCCAGAGTAAGCACTTCCTCAATATTTGTAACATGGTCAATGCCCGAAGAACAAGACAGGAATGGCATCATACGACAATACAGTGTATGTTATCAAACAACCGAAAACACTGATCCATGTAATAATGCCAAGATCACGGACAACACGTGGTTCGAGCTCAATGGACTCAAGCCATATCAGAAAATAACATTTCAAATTAAGGCTGCTACATCCGTGGGTTTTGGCCCAGCAACCATTGCCTATCAGACGACTTTGCCATCTGGTATGTATCTTACGAGCAGACCCTTACTTTCTTACCTTGGATTTTTTCATTGTTGCTAGCTTATATCCCATAAAAATTCCCTTGTCCATTTATTCTCCTCAATATCCAACCTGCAGATACCTGCAATCAGTAATTTCAAAAGCCGTTGGGGAGCCTACGAATATAAAATAACAGAGCGCGTAGGACGTATCGAGCCTACGAATATAAAATAACAGTATTTTAGTGGAGCGCGTAGGACGTAATCGCGTGAACTCGTTTTCATATATGTGACACTAGTTAAAACCCAATGTTTCAACGAGTCTCTATTGACAAAGTGAGGTACTGTCCGGAAATTAAAGGTGTATTCGGTAATTCTGTCTGGCTATTTACTCTAGAGCATAGCGAAGTTAAAAGTCATTCGCATGCGCGAATCCAAATCCAGTGAGGACTGGTGTCTAGCAATTGCCAAATTGTTTTAGACCAGCAGTTTAACGTTCACTTTACGAAATTTTGGAAGAAAATTGTAAAAGATTAAATTTCGTAACCGACATTAAAATGAAAATACAACAAAGAAGATGCATTGCCTGCATGATAGGACGTGGTATTGTGTGTGTTTGAAGTGAAGTTTAGAGGATTAGAAATTGGTGGCTGTCAACCGACAACCAAAAAGAAAATATTAAAAAATGAATGTTAGTCTTGTGATTTTCGGGAACATTAATTTAATGAAATTTTGAATTCTTACCTCATTATGATTTTTTTGTACGAGAACGTGATTAACCTATTAAGCGTGACAAGTCTGGTTTTAGACAGAGTAAAATAATAAAGTGGGGCTTCGGTGGCGAAGTGGTTAGCGCACTTGCCCTTCACCTCTGAGGCCGCAGGTCCAAATCTCAGCCAGAACTTTCTCAACGCGACTCGAACCCAGTCCTCATGTGAAAAGAGTAAAAGTCAACGCTCTGCCGAAAGTCGTGGGTTTTCTCCGGGTACTGCTGTTTCCTCCCACAAGGAAAGTTGACAAGATGGGTTAGGTAAAAGGGCTCACAGTAATTGGCATATGCTGTTGTGGTGTCCCTGCCCTAGTTGGCAAAGCTAAAATAAGAAAAGTAGGGCGGATCAGGTCCCAATGCGACTCAATGGGTTAACTAGACAAATGGGCAGATAGGCCAGTTAACCCATTAAGCGCCAGCGCCCTTCCCTTGACGAGTACAATCGTCTGACGTTAGACAGAATAATGACAGGGCATTGACTAATGACGAGTAAAATCGTCTGACGTTAGACAGGGCGCAATGCGACTCAATGGGTTAAAGAATTGTTCATTTCATTTTCAGTTCATTTCAGCAATTTAGCGGGCAGTTTGTTTTTTAAAAATTGTGCATTTAATTAATGCGTCTTGAGCAAACAAGAATTTAATTATAAATCGATCTGGCAAGCAAATTAATTTTACAAGTAAATTTTTCAAACAAGTGCGTGATACTTGCTGGCCAAAGGCGAACTTGGATAAATAGCGGAAATTTAGCTATGACGTCTGGAAACGTTTTACCACACGTACAAGGTTGATGTTACCTTGGCGAGGGGTTGCTACATCCATATGGCATATATGTCATGAATAGTACATTCGTTATTTAATTTGTACATTTAATTGATTGGCCTATACCGTCCCCCTGTCTCCTCCCATAAGACGTTATGTCATATTATGTATCAGTGATGTATTCGACATTGTATTGGGTCCCGGATGGTCAATCTTTTATAGAATTGCAATTGCTTATTTGCACGAAAGCCCAGGTAAACTTTATGCAGACTTTAGACTTCAGAATTTATCAGAACGTATTTATCAGGTAGCACTGTTTTTAATGGAATAATGCTGTATTTACATTAATGCGCTTCTTATCATAGGCGCCCCAAAAGTGGGGAGGCTAAGCCAGGGCAAATTCAGAAGAAAAATTCGGGAAAGATGAAAGAAAACCGGGAATGTATTAAAGTTGTGCAGTTGGAAATATGTTAGATCCAGAAAATCTCCCTCCCCCCGGGGGAGTTAGCTCCTCTAAACACTAACAGTACAAGTCGAAGGAAGCGCCTTAGCCCCTTCGCTCGAAACGTCGAAGTTCTCCTTGTATTTTTCAGGTAGTTGTGTCCCTATCAATCTGACGCTTTTGTACATATTTCTCCCAGAATTTTGAGTTGTTTTCAATCGATTTCAGTGTAAAAAGTATCAAATTTTCGACGAGAAATTCTAAATACTTTGTTTATATTTTGCAACAATTGCCAAGCATGCGTAGAGCTCACGTTGGAAATCCAACGTACTATCTGCCGCTAGCCAATCACCGGCCTGAATCAATTCGATTTCTCCAGAGCTATGCCCACCCTTAACCTGCGAACGGGCATGCTCGGGGAACGAGATTGCTTTCTACCTGGCTTTCGTAGTCTCACGATTTTTAAAATTTATTGCAAGTAAAGGACTAAAGCTACCAACCTATATGCAAACATTAACCATTTGCGTAAACCATTTTTTCATAAAGTTTTTCGTAAACCATTTTTTCGCAATCAACCCCAGTTGGCTCATAAACTCATTCCATTTCTCTTAATTTTCAAACATGCAGCTCCAGATGGTCCACCCAATGAAGCACGAGCGACGCACGTTAAAACCACAAACATATCGCTTTCATGGCTACCTCCAGATTCCGAGTTGCGCAATGGAAGAATTACCAACTATACCATCTGCATCCGGGTCTTTAGCACTTCCCCAGGCCCTTGTCTGAGAGAAGTCTCGCTCAGTAACCAAACTGACTACACGGCTACTGGACTAAAACCTTACACGAAGTATATCATTAAAATATCTGCTGGCACAGAGATTGGTTTTGGACCACCTGCGTTGGTAGTTAACACAACGTCAGAGGCAGGTAAAGGACTATGGTGACATTTGGTGGGAATTGGATACATACCCAATTTATATACAGTATGAAAGTAAATGAAGGGGATTAGAAGTTTTTGCTAAGCCATGCGGCAGATGTTGGGGAACTGGTTGAGAAAAGATTAGTTATTTTAATTCTCTTTTTAGTTATTTTAATTAGACTTTTACCATATATACTCGGTAAGTGCATAGTGCTTTTCTCGCAATGGTTGCTCAGCTCGGGGTCTCCTAAAACTATTCACTATTTCACTTTCAGACAAAAACAAAATGGCTTCCCGTTTCGTTCCAGTTACAGACGAGCAAATTTTTGTACTAACTAAAAAATTCATGTTTCGCTCGCTACTCTGGTTTCAATAAATGATTACAAAGCCCATTCGAATTGTAATCAAGACCCAACAGCATGAATTTTCTGATTTGTTTTTACAGGTTCTTTCAGAAAACTCTGTATATTCTATACCATGCGGTGACTGCGAGAAAGAGTATTTGGGTCAGTCTAAACGCCAGTTTGGTACACGGCTAAAAGAACATCAAAAAGCTGTTTCAACTTTAGACAAGGGAAAACCAGCTTTAGCAGAACATGTGTGTGATACCAAACACGAGATTGCGTGGGAAAACTCTAAAGTAATTACCACAAACAATGGCTATGGTCAAAGACTTGCCTAGAAGCATGGCATATAAATATGAGTAGTCATGCTCTGAATAGGGATGACGGTGCCTATTTGCCAGAGGAATACATGCATCTCATTGGCAGGTCACGTCATCCCTCGGGTATTTAAGAAGCCACGATTGCAACTTTAGATCACCCCTGATGAAGACACTAGACTGGAGTGTCGAAACGTTGGGTCTTGATTACAATTCGACTAGGCTTTGTAATTAATCATTTATTTAAACCAAAGTAGCGAGCGAAACATGATTTTAATATACATGGTTGCAGTGAACGAACAAACTTTAAAACTAAAAAATTGTGCTAAACTAATTTTTATATCAACGCTTGGCGTTTCGGTGAATATATCCTTGCACTATTGAACTCCACTTCAGTGAATAATTATCAATTATTGGACGCGGTTAAACAAAATACCGTGATTTGTTAGTGGCGAGCAGATCAATTATTTCGGAAACATTTTTTGCAGGTAAATTAACCAATCAAAATTAAGAACACTATAAAGTGAATGGTAATTGCTAATTATGTGGAGGCGAAGAATATGATTAAGAGATGTTCAATAACGCCGGGTCGTGACATGTACACTACAAACATTCAAACAATCATTTAAAACTTGTAAATTTATAACTATCTTAGGACTAAAATATTTCCCTGTTAATTTTAGAACCAACTGGACCTCCAACGGATTTACAAGTTACGCATTTCACACATAATTACATAGACATCACATGGTCGTCCCCAGACCCTTCAGAAGTCAACGGCGTTCTTACTAAGTATTCAGTCTGTATTAGAACCCAGCCTTCTTCGTTTTGTCTGCAGGGACTCACTGTTCCTTTTACACAGACATCGTACACGTTCAGCGGTCTTAGACCATATGTTATTTACAGCATTGAAGTTAGAGCAGCTACTGTGGTAGGATTTGGTCCGCAGGCGAATATTTCCCAAAGAACAGTACAGTCAGGTGTGTAGATAATATACCGTGTTTTTTTTGCATTGAAGGATGAAAGATCATAGATAAAAATATTGTATATGTCCACCTGAAACGTTCATGCTGGCTTGTAAAGAGCATTTGACAGGTTTTCATGTGGTTATGCCAATTATTTTGAACTATACCTCGCTCTGATTGGCTAAAGTAATTGAAACCTTCAAATGCTTTTATGGATGTGTCTGTACATCCTGACGGTATTCATTGTTTTGTAGAAGAAAAGGATTTTGAACGTTTTGGATAAATTTGAATGATTAATTAAAGGCTAGCAGGGAAATAAAATCGAGTCAAACGATGTTGAGCGAAATATCGTAATTTGTCCAGGGTCGTTTTTAATATACAAATGATGAGAGAGCATGTTGCCTGCCTCCAGTAAAGCCCCCTTCCCCAGTAAACTATTTAGCCCCTGTAGTGAGGCGTTTTGACTTAGTTCAGATGAGTAATATTAGTTTCATATTTCCCTAATCAGACCTTGTTTTTATACTAGAAGTTCAGTCTGTTTAGATGGAATATAGAAAAAAAATCGTGTCGGTAAATGTAGTAAATGAAGCCCCTGATATACCTTTCCCTTAACAACTCCCCCTGACGAATTCATGTCCCTGGTTTTGTCGGCGGCGATAACAAAGTTGTTTTGTTATTCAATATTTCACACTCGTCGCAACTCACAATTTCATAGATTAACAAGCCAGTTAAATAACAAATCTTCCCAGTGTCAGCCAAAACTGATCAATATAAGACAACGTGAAGAAGGACCTTCGCCCGTTACCGTTGGTGTAAATTTTAGTTGCGCGTTGTTCTTTTACTTCAGAGCCGAGTGGACCGCCAACTAGAAAAACAGTGACATTTGTGAACGAATCAATGATTAGTTTCTCATGGTCAGCACCAGAACCAGAGTTACAAAATGGCGTGATTATTCACTATAGTATGTGTATACGAGAATATGGTCCTGAGTCCACTTGTACCAGAGCAGCACAAATATCAGCAAGTGATGAGAATAGTTATACGTACAATGGCCTGATCCCAAGCAAGGAATATATTGTGGTGATTAAAGCCGCAACTACTGTGGGTCTGGGACCGCCTGCATTTATTCAAAAGACGTCAGGTAGGCAACAGCCTGGTAGTGACAAATCTGAACCTCGCTATTAGCTTTCACACGATCGGAAATTGCACCTGGCTATATTAGTGAGCATTCATTACATGTGTGGTATCGTTGGCTTAGTGAAGAATGTTTCAGCGCTTTTTGTTTTTCTTCGTATTTATAGGGCTTGAAATAATGTTGTTGAGGCAAGCAAGGCAACTTAGCATGCGTAGAATGTAAACGAGTGACAGCCTGTCTTTAAGGTGTCAATTTTTGGCCGCAATTTATATGATCGTGTTCTATAAGCCTGTTTGGAGTTGAACACCTCAATGAACACTGGTAGCTGATACAATATCTTAACTGATAGATCACAAACGACAAAACAGCAATTGTGAAACTGATATTATACACTGAAAACATTAGAGACTTGATTAAGGGCCTGTTTAAATGGAGGTAGGGTAACCCTATATCAATAGGGTGACCCTACCAAGAGGGGTTTTAAAAACTAGCGAGGGTTTACATGAGGTAGGGTCACCCTACCACTAGGATTATGTTGCCTAGGTAAGGTAACTCTACCTATGCGTGGTCGCTAAGCCAGCTGTATTTGAAAATGGAGCCTAAACGCAAATTTTTAGCGGCAAGTTGTATAATTTTATGTCTTGGACCTTTGCTTGCTGTATTTCAATGATGTGGTCTTTTATTTTGTGTTATTGTATCAAAAGGGCGAATAAAACACGAGCCGCTTGGTAGGGTAACCCTATATACCTGACGCGTTTACATGCCTTATGTAAACAAAAACATAGCCCTTCTGCTAGGGTTATCTTATCTGTTTGGTAGGATAACCCTACCTCTAGGGTAACTCAAGCGCGCATTCGTTGCTTTTCGCAACGCGAAAACTAGGGTAACCCGCCTACTATGTAACCCTCCATGTAAATAGCCTAAAGCTGGAGTTACACGAGCAACAAAATTGCTGCAACTTGCAACAAAATCTAATTTCTACGCATTTTAATTGAAAATGTTTACACATAAATGTACAAATCATAAGGCAACATGTGTCCACATTTCTACTTAACATGTGTTGAAATCAGATTTTGTTGCAATTTGTTGTTTTGTTTCTCATATTTTTAAGCCAGACAGCCAATGGCTCAACCGCTTGTTTTTAAATTCCGTATAGGCGAATGTGGTCTTCCCGTCCTGTATGGCGGAGGTCATGTTAGTGACGACAGTTTTAGTGCAAGTGGGTTTCTTAGTAGAAATTATGAACCTTACCAAGCACGTATAGACAATGACCTACCATGGTGTGATCGTGGGACCAGAAACAATGCCTATATCCAAGTGGACTTTGGTGGATCGCTAAAGGTTCTGGGTGTCGCAACGAAAGGTCACAGGCAACATTGGCAAAGTTGGGTGTTTTCATATAAAGTTTCGTACAGTATAGACAGAGTGAATTGGAAATATGTTAATGTTAGCGGAAAGATGGTTAGAATAACTTGATTATATCTGTTTGTTTGTTTGTTTGTTTGTTTGTTTGTTTGTTTGTTTGTTTGTTTGTTTGTTTGTTTGTTTGTTTGTTTGTTTGTTTGTTTGTTTGTTTGTTTGTTTGTTTGTTTGTTCGTTCGTTCGTTCGTTCGTTCGTTCGTTCGTTCGTTCGTTCGTTCGTTCGTTCGTTCGTTCGTTCGTTCGTTCGTTCGTTCGGTCGTTCGGTCGTTCGGTCGTTCGCTCGTTTGCTCGTTCGCTCGTTCGCTCGTTCGCTCGTTCGCTCGTTCGCTCGTTTGTTTGTTTGTTTGTTTGTTTGTTTGTTTGTTTGTTTGTTTCAGTTGCTCGCTTGTTTGTTAGTTTGCCCGTTTGTTTCAGTTGCTCGTTTGTTTGTTTGTTTGTTTGTTTGTTTGTTTGTTTGTTTGTTTGTTTGTTTGTTTGTTTGTTTGTTTGTTTGTTTGTTTGTTTGTTTGTTTGTTTGTTTGTTTGTTTGTTTGTTTGTTTGTTTGTTTGTTTG